GTCTCGATGAGGATGGAATCAGCAGAGAAGAATCTTTTGGAAGCCATTGTGTAGCACTGCACGCCGTCAGCAAGAAGAAAAAATTATATATCTCGTGAAAGATTACATCAAGATGCAATTGCGCAATTATACAAATTGCACGTGTACACAATGTGGCTTGGTAAGACGCGTCCTTCGCGCGTCCTCATTATGTTATATAAATTTTGAGATTCGGCAGGTATAAGGGAAAGTCGTCTGTCGTGTAGTATCGACCGCTCTAATTTTTTGTAGGGCAACTTTTGGGCTAGATTTAATAAAAATTTTAAAAAATGTTATTTGTAATTCAAATCATATCTACTTAATAAAAGGACGAAGATTATTTTATTTAAAATTGGATACAAAGATTGATAATTAACAAAAAGGAAAAGTTAGAATTGGAGATTGGGGCAAAATTGTCATGCTATAAATTCAGTAGATGTTTAGATAAAAATGACTAATAAAAAATGGTGCGAGCATAGCGCGAAAAGTCATTTAAATTTTATATTGAGATATTACATTGTAAATTATTAAAATTTACATTTATTACATATATGAAATATATAAATGTTTTTTTTGTAAGCTATAAAGTTAAAAAAAATCACATGCGTACGTAAGTATGTACGTGAACGTACAGTGGGTCACAGAAAGGTTGCAACACTTTTTTTCCATGGATTTCGGAACGAGCTTTGCTCGTACAGCGGTTGAACGTAAATGGTTAGATTGTAAATGGAAGTACGAGAATCAATCTCTCTGGTGAGCAGAGTGCATTCCGAAGCCCATCGAAAAAGAGTGTTGCATCCTTTCGTTTAGTGCACGGACGCTATCTTAACGGGATAAGTAAAAATTTTTTCATTTGAAATCTATTGTGAAGCCACAATATTTTTCGAAATGCAATATTTTGTAGGATTTTATAGAAGAATCGAAGTACGATAGAAAATTTTTGAGATCTAATTTTACGATGGAAGATTTTCATGAACGTCCGATTTTTTAATTCATATTAAATTAGGATGTTTTAAATAGAAATGTTCTTATATTTTCAGTTAATACAAGACAAAACTTTTCTTTAGTTATCTCTCTCATGTATATATTTCGAATAAAATTACTTTCAGTTAATATTCACGACTATTTATGTATGTACAGAGTAACGAGAACAAGATAGCTAAATAAGAGGAAACAATGTAATCATGATCTAGTTATGACCTTTCGACGAACCACTGTTTCGCACGGAAATGCAGCAATCTTTCGCGGAAGTACCTACCGCAGTTTCCGTCGATGGAATATAACGATAGATCCATATCTTTAAAATGTTGAAAATAATTCCTGCTTAACGTTTTAAAGATATTCATCAATTTTCTTAAAATACTACATTTCTTATTATTTTAATAAATATGTCACTTCGTCAAGAATACTGTAGTTTCTACTTTGTTAGCAATTATAGAAAATATTTTACAATCTACATCTATTATAACATAATTTTTGCTCAAAAAATGTTGAACAATATAAATGATACGAAAGATAAATTTCTTCATTGTTTCATTTCTTTATAAGAAAAAATTAAATGTATGTACTTACCTTGGTTGCGTTTCAATTCGTAAAAAATATAATCGCATTGCTCACATTTTGCATCGATTTCGTTAGTACTTCGCTAAACACGCATTTAAACGCAAACATCAAACGCCTTGGAGTTTCTTTTTTTTTATACCACTTTATATAAATTTATTATTGTCTTAAACATAATTTTTTTTTGTTCAATCGTGCGTCTCTAATCGTTGTCGACGACGAATGCAAAAAATCTTGAGAAGTATATGTATTTCAGCTTTATAAAAGTAACGTTTAGTTATCAGGTACGTATACTCCTTATCCTTTTGTCGACTCTTTTTCCTTCTATCCTATTCGTACGTGGATATATATACCGACTGAGTAAAATCCCTGATCGGCGAAATATCTCAAAAAACGAAGCATTTTTAGGAAAAATGATTCAGACAAAAGTTGTGGGGTTTAAAAAGATCTATTTTTACTGGTCACACACACATCGACTTTGGGTAGCGTCGCCAAGGTCAGGTCAAGGTCACGTCGATTTTCTAATTATTCTTCTTATTTTTATTTTTGTACTAAAAATTCATTTTTACGTAAAAATGTAAATAAGAGAAACAATCTTCAATGTCCTTAATCTTGACAAATGTTATCTAGGTTATGATCCTGAACAATATTCAAAAGGTTTTAGCCGTCGGTCGGACACTTTGAATAACGCTAATGCCAGCGATATTTTAACTTTCAAGATACTCCTGATAACTCAATAAGTACTGATTTAAAAAAGACTATTAAAGCTTCGATCATTACAGACCTTTATTTCCTATTTTCTATTAAAGTATTTTGGAAAACTCACGAGGTCAGCTATTAGATTCTGGAATAAAAAATAGGGTGTTTCGTTTAAAAAAATCAATATGACCTTGATCTGACCTTGGCAACGCCAAGGTCAAACGGATATGATCAGTAAATAGATCTTTTTAAACCCTACAACTTTTGTCTGAAACATTTTTCTCAAAAATGCTTACTTTTCAAAATGTTTAAGGGGTCCGGGACTTTTGTATACTCTGTATATATATATATTTTTTTTTTTATATATATAAGAGTATATATATATATATATTTTCTTTCGTAATCTTTTCTGAGATCCTATTAACCTATTAACGTCCTTTCTTCTCGACAGTAAACGCATCCAATCTCGATCTCAAGATGGGAAGAGATGCAAAAATAAGACGCGCTGTCCTCATTTATTCATATATCAAATAAATTAATAAAACTATGTTGTATAACATTGTTATAACGATTAGAGAAACGTATTAATACGAATAATACTTCATTAGCATATCTATTATAATAATAACAGGTCAATATCAACAATTTTTTCGTTAAATAATTTCTTCTTTGAAGAATATTGAAGTAGAAGTATATCAACAAAATATGCAACGGATAAGAAAAAAAGTACAATATATATACTTTTCATATAAGTTTTACATTTTCCATTTGTCAAAATTTTAATCTATTGTACATGAGACTATTAAAGCTATTCGATAAAATTAAAGGTGTCATCTTTATCTCTTATTTTGCTTTTAAAAGGAATAATAAATTAACTGAAGTCAATCGATATCGACAAGAAAAAACATATATACGTATAATGTTGCCGAGAAGAAATATGTGTATAATATTAATCCCTTGAACATACGAAGATGCACTAGAAATGGAATCCGGAAGAGCAAGATAGATACCAATATGCTTGGACAATCGTTTAAAAGTCATTTGGGCCTTCTTTTTTTCTTTTTTATTACAATTATTTCAATATTTATTCCTTCCTTTGTTATCAATAAAAATCGTTACATAGTAGTTTGGGCCGCTGCTTGACGGTCTGACGAATCGACAAGCATCCAATTATAGTAGTAATAGTAGCAGTAGTAGTAATAGTAGAATAGTAATAATTGTGTGTGTGTGTGTGTGTGTGTGTGTGTGTGTGTGTGAGTGTATGTGTGTAACTTCTGAATGTGTGTACCTGTGTTCATGTTCTCCATTGATAAATATGCACGCGCAATTAACGCGGAAATTTCGGATACACCGGCAGGAATTCGCAGGTACACCGTCGCTATATCCTTCTTTATGTTTTCGATGTAAAAGAGATAAGCAAAAATCCTCTTCTTCTTTATTCTTTCTTCTCCTTTCAAAAATGAATTCTCGTGCGATTTCGCGATTTCATCTATCATCAATAAAAAATATCTCATACGTGTTAGTACATACATTGCGTTTCAGTTTACTATTCTTTGATTGGTCATACAACTGGAAACCGACCCAAAAGGATGCGGAGGCAGGACACAAATCCGAAAGATAAGATGACACGACCACGCGCAAAGTCGACGTCAAGCTGGCAAATGAAGATAAGAGGCAACAAGCGAATAAAAGTGCTAAAATTAGGAATGATTAGGTGATCCTGAGAATAGATACGATTAACTAATCACGAATACTACGCACCAAGTCGTCTAATGCCGCCGAAGACATTCGAAAACCTAAATCGGAAACTTCTGGCTAATTTGATCGTGCATTCTTCGACGTAATGGAGAAGTCGAACATCACGCTTCCCTTCTTTCTCTATCAAGAAATAGGATATGGTCTTGTACATAAGTATATATCAGACTATATCAGAATTTAATATATTTTATATTAATATATAATATAAAACAGTGAGATATCTAATAATCGCGAAACGTTAATATTTCAATATTCTCGTAAAACGCATGTTAAAACCAGGCCGACATTTCTACACAAATATACAAACTAATCAAGAAAAAGTTTTATCTCATCACTCATTTATTACGCTATATATTTTCCACTCAACGTCTCGCGAATCGGTATTAGGCTCATTCGATGGACCCCCTTGAGAAATCCCACCATCGATATACCTGCGAATGCATCTGCCGTGTAATCTTCTTTATTCTCACATGCATTTGTAAATGAGACAATATGTGTACATGTAATATGTGTATATGTTTATATATACGCTGATGTGGATGTGTTCTTTTTTGCGTATATCTCTCTCTCACACACCGTCTTGTCGATAAAAATCTCAGCAGTTTATGACACATCGTTCGCCATTTTGTTTTATTTTTCTTACACATAGCAATAATAAAGACAGTAAATAGCTAAAAGGACCGTATCGATTCTTGGGAAATGGGGGAGGCGGCCAGGATTGCGGCCAATCCATGCCGTATCACCCGCTGCCGCATACTCACATTGTCATCATTTTATCATTATCATTATCGCCGCCGCTATCGTTATCGCATCATCATATCTCCGTTCTTGCTACCTTGTCACATCTTCTCTCTCCCTCTCACATATTATGCGCGCGCGAATACACACATTTCAGGCGAATTCGCACCTTTTCCTCTCCCTCTTTTTCTCTACATTTTCTCGTTTACTTCTTTTTTTTCTCATTATCTCGCTGTTATTTTCAAAATTCGTGATCATTCTCTATTTTTTCTCTCATTCTCAATCAATCACGACCCATACAGTACAGAATTTCTAAAAACGTTCATAGAATGTTCTAAAAATGTACAAATATTCATAGAACGTTCATAGACGTTATGGATGTTGTATACTATCTAAGGAGATTTGTTCACGTCGCATGCTTCAACATGCTCCCTATCATAGCTTCTACTCACTCCAATACGTTTGTGGAGTAAGAGCTATGGTAGGAACAAACCTACGTACACACATACACACACACACGCGTGCTCCCTCTCTCTGCCTCGCGCACATGTTCATCCTATCGTGCTCTACAAAAAAGATAGTAAGCCTAAACACACAACAGTATATTATTTATTATCATTATTTCTCTTTCTCTCTCTCTTCCATTCTCTCTCTCTCTCTCTCTCTCCCCCCTCTCACTCTCTCTCTTTCTGATATTTGTCGATTGATCATTGATGTGTATTTCTTCATACAAGCGTAAATGCATGAAGCAAATAAGCAACTGTATATACTTTGTGTGTTAAATATATGATACAAGATGAAATCGATTGTTTTCGCGTACAACATATTATTTTTAAACAATATTTCATACATATATTCTTCACAAGCAGTGACAAAATTATCTCCGATAAATTCAAGCTAATGATCCGATTTCTCACAGAAGATACTCTGGTGACTCCTCCTTTTCCGAAACAAAAAAAAAAACCAAGCGCGTGTAACGCAAGAAATGAAAGACGATGTGACGTCGCATTTAAAATTGTCATTCATCCCATAGCGAATCACCACTCATGTTATGATCAATTGCGATTCGCGCCTTTTAGACCCGATTATACCAACGTTACTTTGAGCGAAGCTTAAAACTCTCACTTTCTTTCTTTAAGACCAGAGTGCACCAACGTTACTTCGACTTTAAGCGAAGCTTAAAACTCCCTCTCTCTTTTTAAAGCCGAGAGAGACATAGAGCAAGAGAGTTTCAAACCTCCGTTTAAAGTTAAAGTAACGTTGGTGCAATCGAGCCTAAAGCCAAGAGAGAGGGAGAAACAGAAGTAAAGAGTTTCGAGCCTCGCTTAAAGTCAAAATAACGTTGGTCGGGTCTTAATTTTTTGATGACAAAGGCATGCCAGATTCCAGACCTGATTTGCCTATCTCCGTTACTAGATCCATAATAGTGAGATCGTGCAAAAGATCATACGCCACGTTTTTTCAATCAAAAAATCGTGCACTCGCATCGCTTACGAATGTCTATGATGTACTAAAATATAACACTGGAACGAGCGCGGCTCTATGCCGCCTTCATTAATAGCACTTTTCCTTAGCTGCATTATCGCCCACCAGTGCAACACTTAGTAGTGTGTTTCCATGGCTGATGATAGATAAACTCATTCGATGTAATGTGTTTTGACATGTTTTATGTACCAAATACGATTTTGCTACGTTCCGTCTCAAAGGAACGGTGTAGAGCGAGTGTGACATTTAAAATTTGAAAATAGAAGTAAAACAGGAGTAGGATTTTAGTGCAATAATGAAATAATATACATCATGGTGTAATATACACCACTTCAGTATAGTGCAGCGCTTACACGCAATTGGTGCGATGCAAGGTTATATTCAGTGCATCCTAAGAAAGAATATCTATAAGTGATCCAAGTGATGTCTTAGTCCTTTTCTAACCTATACTGCGCAAGTGCAGTAAATAGTATAGTAGGATACATTTTCGTAAAAAAAAGTTTAGTAGTATACGTAGCATATATATTACATACACTACTATATACTAATACGTTAAGTGTATTTCATTAAAATATAGATTAAGTCCTTTAATTTAACCTAATCTTTTGTTTCAATTTGATACGATATACGTCTCTCACCAGAGACAATTCGGCGCATAATCCAATCTGTAGTAATGAAACTTTTAGCCAAATTGCATTAAAAAGACCACATAGAATCCTCTTCGTCGGATCGTGAAATGGTAATTGTTATGCTGATTCTACAATGAGTCGGTCCTAAGTCTTATCAGTGAAGTTGACCAATAGCCAACTTGTACGACTAACGCTGATTGGCCAACTTCACCGATTAAGACTAAGATTTCTGACTACCGACTCATTGTAGAATCAGCATTAAGAATACCCCTGTCGTTTTAAATTGTGATAAAAATACACTTAATCGATGCGTTTTCCTATAAAAATAAAGATTTAACAAGAAAAAAGCGTCGCTATCCTGTGAACTGAGATATTAATCGTTAAAGTTGACGACTATTCAGGAAATCTGCTCGGAAATCTGTCAGCCACGAAATGTTGCGATGCGAGCACGATTTTCATATCAAAATTTGAGGTGACTGGAGTATTCTTAACATTTGTTACCCGAGAAATTAGCGTCAGCGCTCGTTCCAGTATTATGGACTGCGTTCAGCAGAGAAAATTAATCAGTTAACGCTTAATGATTCTTGAGATACGATTGGTTCCTTCATTTAGATCCAGCAAAGAATTAAAAGCAAGAACTAATCGTATCAAAGAATCATTAAGCGTCAACTGATTTTTTTCTGCTGAACGTAACCATTATACTTCAATGCTATGATGTCAATGACGTCTTGTAACGTGCGTCACCAGCTCTCGCACGGATAGCGGCGATTCTCCCACCGATCGATCGTCAAAACCGCCATCGATCCTTGTCATCATTCCTCGCGACGCGTCGGCGTCTCAGATGTGATCTCGCATCTCTCTCGCGCGTCACAGCCGTCGAGACTCGCATTGCTGCGCGATCATTACAGGGATTGGGAGCAGATAGAGAGCAGATGTGGCAAATGACATCGATATTAATATCGATATCGATAAGACGCCGAAGTTTCCCCATAATCTCCGACGCTCGTACGCATCACAGGACATAACACGATGACAGGACACGAGACACGCGTACCTATTCACACGTATCTACGATGCTTAAGTACGTATACGTGTATGACCGAGAAGACAAGAGAACGGAGAACGAAAGGAGAAGAGAGAAACAACACAGGTTTTTACGATAAAAAGCATGGGAAAAAGAGGAAGAGGGAGAAGGGGTGCGTCGTTGTTTACGTATGGTACGTGCGTTTACTCAGCAATACTCAGCATGAAATCGCGCGTGCCTTCCTTTCCGTTCTCTACGTCGCGTCAAAGAAACAAAAATTGAGAAAAGAATAATGACTGGAGCAGTAATGGTAGATGCGCTGTTCTCGGCTGTGTATTTGTTACTGCTGTTGCTGCTGTGTCGCTGCATTTTCATCGTGAGTCGCGCGGCAGGGCGTGCGGCAATTCCGGGGCAACTCGTGCGGTATGGCGCATGTTCCATTCGCTGTTCATTAAAATAATCGATCGTATCGTTTATTATTAATATTAGATATTTATGTTGGGTCCCAGAGGTTACTGTAACAGAAAGCAAGATTAAGTTGCAGATTAATAGACTGTGAGACGTGATGAGACGTCATTAAGCCTACACTCGTTTCTGCATTCATTCATTCTTGCTTGCGATAGTAAAGTTATAATACGCGGTGAAAAACAAAACTTTGCAAATTGAACGATATTTTGTCTTGTAAAAGCAATGTTTTGTCATAAGACTTTTTGACTCATGTTTATCCATTCATTTAAATTTCGTTAATTTAAATAAAGAAGTACGTTGTAACATTGGGAATTAAAATTTCGGTCGCAAGTTGCGAGACACGCTATATAATATTTTTCGTAATAAGTTATTTATAGGTTTTAAGACACTATTATACACCCAAAAAAAATATTCTGCCGATAAGCGGGGAATTCCTTTTAGCATTTCCTCTAAGCAAAAAATCTTACATTAATCTTACATTAATCAGGTGCGTATATTTATAACATGTATTCATCTATAAAAATAACTCGAATAGCCTTTTGAAATAAAAGGATACACAAAATACTAGCGGCACGCTTACTTGTTAGAAGAGGTTTGTCATTTACGTGCTACAGTAATACGCGTACACGTCAGTACATACAAGACATTCTTCTAGTATTGAGAGGATCGCAATCCTAAATCCAGTACTTTAGAGTTATACGAAATTCCTTTATTTTATAGAGTATCCTCTTAAAGTCATATATAAATGGAAAATCCTCTGACATTAACACGGAATCGCTAAATGGCAGAATATTTTTTTTGGGTGTAGCATTATGATTAAAACTGACGATCAATTTAATTTGTGAGATTATTTCAGTCTATGAGTGCGTTCCGAATTACGCGCATGATGCATTATTGTATCCTTCTTTATTATTCGGTGAACAATAATTTAACAAACGACGCATTATACGCTTTATGCGCAATTCGGAAGGCATACCATGATCGCATTGCATTTCCGACAGTAATCGACGCGCAATTTAAGAAAAAAACTGAAAAGACGTATTTAAAATACATAGAAAAATTATTAATAAAGTCCGAACGTTCGTACACGATCACAATGAGCACGTGGAGAACCGCTTCACGCTTCGTTTAGAGGTATTGAGTAGACCATGCGCCAGCCAAAATGTTGCTATCTCGCTTTAGCAAGCACCTGGCTCATTCGCGCGTATAGCGGTTCTTTGCGCACGTTCCGTAATTATGCATGAATATATTAAGCACACATTTTTACGTCAATTTGTGTGACGGCTTTAATGTGCACTAATGTGTATTAAGTGCATTCAATTAAATTCGCTATTAATTTAAATGGTAGATTTTTCTAATAAGCTATACAGGATATCCGAAAAGTGTCGGAATTTTAAGATTTTTAAATTAAACATTTCCGAAAGGAATGTTTCATACTACATTTGTAGAGTTTGAAGACGCATTAAACAAAAATACCAGTGTGACCTTGGCTAGTGATATTAAGGTCATGTAAAAATCACCTTCAAATTTTCAAATGGAAACCTCTACATTGAAATTATCTTGTTAACAAGTAGTCGCGTGAATAAAGTCGAGTGTCTAATTTTTAAAAATATAATAAAAGAGTGTCGTGTTTCTATTTTTTCTTTCACTTCTCCAAGTAATAATTAGAAGTTATATCCGTAGAGAAAAAGTTTTGCTGCTATAGCAAACTGTAATTGTTACATGTTTGATGTAAAAATTTTATTATCAATTATTTGATATTACAGCAAATAATATGGATTACACTGAAAAATGCAATTCATTATTGAATAATTTCGTTTATAAGAATGGATCTGTTTCTAAAGCAAATTTAATCTGCTATTGAAGTAAATATATTTTCCTACCGAAGTAAAACAATTTGTTATTACAGCTAAAATAATTTACAGAGACTTAATATAAAATTATTTTCAACAAACAAAATTTATATTCTCAATCAATTTTTACTTCTTATATAGAGATTAATGACATAGCAACTGTGTTTTCTAAAATAAAATATTTTTTCTGTACATACATCACATAATAATTAATAAATTTACATATCATTCTTAATAGCGAAAATTAAGTTATTAGCATTTTGTATTCGTTTTCAGTTGATATCGTCAAAAACAAATATGCAATGTATATATGCAGACACAATTGAGCAATTATCCATGAAAATGTGCAAAGAGACGTCTTGTCCCTCAATCATTCTTAGAAAAAATGTTTATCGTCACCATATTGCCACCTAGAGACCCAAACAAACGCACAAGTGACGTGATTAGTCATCGACGTAAACTGATATCAAGCTAAAACGCTTGCCGAGAATTATCCGTCCGTGAGTCATGCGGAATTCGCGTATCGTGTTGCGTCGCCTGAAAATCAAGCGCTGAACTTCATCGCGTGTCACTAAAATCTTTTATTCCTCGTTCCTACGATTGAGAAGATTTTGGTGATACGATATAACAAACACTTTTAAAAAATATTCCAAACGCCAAATATAATGATAAAAACAAACTATAGCAAATTATTTTTTAAATTATTAACAAAAATAGAGTAGTTGAATTTAAACAATAAAATAAAAATTAATTAATTTAATATTAATTAATTAATATTATTAATTGAGCGCATTACACATGGATTTGATTAAAATTGAATTAACTTAAATCAGAAAAAATTTGTACCTAAATGTTTAATATAATTTTATAAAAACAAATATTGTATAGATCTGTATTTTTGTATGGAAATTTTATATTTTCTATCAAGAATCTAATAATATAATTCGACAGATCGAACTTATAAAATCATCTAGAATCGTTCATATTATTTTTTATGCAAGACATAATTATACAAATAATTCAATCAATGTCAAAATAATCCAAATGTTATTATAAAATTATCCAAATCGCGTACTCTTTGATTACACGATGAATGACGAATCAATGATCAAAAAAATTGCGTCCGATGATTTCTACTTGTAAGCTATAAAACTTTAATTTTTATTTAGGAAAATGTGATTTAAAGAGTGTTAGTCTATAAAATATGCCATTGCATACTCTTTTTTAATAATAGATTTTTTGACCAATTAGGATTTATCTATAACTACATCAGTGGATCTTTTAGACCCAAAAAGTTTTAATTAATTGGCATTTCTGTACGGTTGGTGCTATAAGATTTTTAATTGTAGCTAAATTCACTTTGAACCTTCCTCTAATAATCGCCGTATTTTTTATGGCGATATTTTATTTGAATGTTCAAACGAAACGCTTGAAAAATCTAGCTTGGACCCGGATGATGTAGATTTATAAATTCTTTACCAATATTTGAAATTGAATATTTTATTTAAAAAACAGTTTTATTTATAGAAAACGCTTTTTAAAAGTGAAAATGTGAAAGACGATCGTTAGCTATTACTTCGCATAGAGTAAAATCATAAGTAAAAAAACGAATTTTTTGCAAAATATTTAACCGATATTTTATAAAATTTATATTTTATTATTTGAAATGTTAAGAATTTTTACTTACAACTTTTGTGGTAAAATATAAAGATAAGTATACGCGTTCAAAAAGAAATAGAAATGATGGCTATTTTCAGAAAACTGGAGAGCATATCATTCGGTGATGATGTCATTCGATGAGCGTATCTCAAAATATTTCGACTTCATCTATTGAAATAATTATACTTTTTAAAACCAAATATTATAACGTATTTTTTCTTACAATTTATGATTTCCTCTTTTTAAAACGGTACTTAGTCTTGTTTTTTGAATTTTTTCGTAAAGATATGATTTTCTTCTTTAACACTGTATTAGTTTGTCCCTATAAAAAGTAACATACGAAAAGTAACATGCAAAAAATATCTTATTTCGACGTTTTGCAAGAAAAATTTTAACGTTTTGTTTCTGATATCACAGTTCGTATGCTATACAAACAAAGGTCCCGGCCGAGTCTAGTTTTTCGTTGCCGAAAAATGTAAACTAATATTCTGCAAACTTCTTTTCGCAACAATAAATAAGAGAGATTCTCTTTAGATCAGTGTTTAATGTTAAATAAAGAATATTATGTCTAACCTAAATTTTTCTATTAAAAATTAATGAGACAGCATCAAGAATATTTTATTCTAGATTTTAGAATTTTTCATTTAAGAATAAAATATTCTTCCTTAAAGAATAAATATGATTGGCTCTATATCGAGGAGTAATAGCATATTGAATATAGAAATCTTTTCTGCAAGTGTCTCATTTGTACATAAAAAATGTGCAGGATAAAACAAGATAATCAAATCGCTTTAAGGCACTTATAAAACTCGAAAGCTATCCTTACTTGCCTTCCCAGCAAATCATAAATATAACTACTACATAATAATATAAATGATGTATATTTATGTATATGTTAGCAGTTATATCAGTTATAACATTTATATCTACGATTACTGGGTTGATAGATAATAAATCGTAAAAGGCACGTGAAATAAAAATTGGCGCATTAAAGGATAACATCTATGTAATCGGTTGTAAATAAGGTCTACGTTTGAGAATTATTTTTTGTTTAATAAATCGTGCTATTAAAAAATGAGTTTTATAACTTTATTAAGCACATAAAAAAGTACAAAAAATAATTTTTTTAGAATTTTATTTATCAAAATGGCGAATCTGCAGCAGCGTGATGGAGACAGTCGAAATAGCATGGTGTTCCGTGGCTAACAGCACAAATGTAGTAATTTTTGGTTTAGACACAAAAAAACAAATATTTTTATTTTCTTTACTCAAATATTTACAGAAATACGTAGCCGTTTTTGAAAATATTGATTTTTGACAAAATAGCGGAAGTACAAACAAAAAGTTCCATTTTCGTCAAAAAAGAGTCGAGTAAAATCAGCCGTAACTCAAAAAATTTGTAATTTATCAAAAAAATTCTATGTATTTCTTTAGAAAATGTGATTTGTTAAATACTATTAAAATTTGAAGTAAATAGGTTAAAAATTATTTGAGTTCTACTGCTAGCCAACTTAAAAAATACTGTTTTGAGAAAAACGCGTTTAAAGTTTTGAATGTGAATACTTTTAAGTTAACAATTGAATTTTTAGGAGCCTATAACTTTCGAAAAAAATTATGTATCGCAATAAAACCACTTGCACTTCATTTTTGAGATTCTAAAGTGTATTTTAAAAAAAATCGATTTTTTTGAAAATTTTATATAGGTGTTATCCCTTAAGCAAACGAACTTCATATGTCTTTTAGGACTATTTATTAATTATTAGGGCAGATAAGGATAGCTTTCGGCCATTTTTACAAGTGTTATAAAGTAATCTCATTATTTTGTTTTATCCAAATTCTCTTTATTTACAAATAGCATGCAAGAAAACTTCAACGTGTCATTTTTCGCTTATAACGTTACGATTCAACATAATGACGACGACGGGAGAACGATAGGGAAACGGGCCCTCTCGAAATCGATAAAAGTTAAAGTATTGAATTTTAAGAGCGGAAATTTATCATTGGGTCAATATCTTCCAGTTTCTGTTCGTAAACGCAAACTTTTTGTGTTTTCATTCTTCTGGATTGCTGTCGATTATAATTTACGTGAATTACAAGAACGTAAATACACATGAATACTTGAAACAACTCGACCAAAGGGAGAACATTTTTTTTTCGATTGCAGAAGCATTTTGACGAGCGTGCGGGAAAACGCACATTGGCACAATAGGATCGTGCGCGAACGTCCGCGGGACGAGTATTGAGTGACAAACCGATAATGATAAGCGCGTAGCGACGTGGGATGCAAGCTTGCTGGTTAAATCGAAGCGATCGTACGAGGGGAATCATGAATAAATGTCGCGTTAATCCAACATGTCTCACAGATAGTGATGGACCTAATGTAAAACACATTGAATCATTTTGAACGTATGAAATTCTGGAATAACTTCGAATATTTCACAAGTTATATAATAAATAAAAAATTAAAAACTCTTAAACGTATTTGAAATAACAAAAAATTGAATATTTTTAAAATATGTCTTTTTATATATACATATTGCATAAATATATATATATATATATATAAAACGCTTTATTATTATTTCGTTCTCTGTCTTAAGCATATTCTCACATTCAATTTCTGAGATAAATTTATTTGAATATATAATCATACAGGGTGTCCCGCCACTACCGCATTTTCTCTTAAGTATTTTTAAGCTAATTTAGAGACGAAAATCCTAATACGAATGTCGGGGATATATAATAATTTTTAAATTAATTTTAAATTATGTGGGCTTTCTACAGTAATCCATTACTAAATTTTAAAAGGCCTTTCACCTTTGACAGCTTCAAAAAATCGATTGTTTACTCATTTATATTTCTATATGTGTAGAATATTCCTATAGAAGGATTATTTGAAACTCGCAATATTAATGAAGCTATAAGCTCAATACGTAAGAGCGCATGAGGCCTTCCAAGCGCTAGAGCAGCGCTTATAAATGCTGTTCAGGTTACAGAGAAGAAACCAATAGATGTTGGTTATAATCTATTCTTTAACGTTTCTAAAAGAAACTGACTGCTATTTTCTATAGGGTAACTCCGGTACATACACCGCATCTAGCAAAAACTTAATTTTTTAAGTATTATTTACTATGTTTAAGGTAAATAAACTATACCAATAAAAACTTTGTACTGTCTATTAACTACAAAAAAATATTAGAAATCCGAAATACTTATTTTTCGTATTAAAAAAAAGCTTTTTAAAACTTACATTTTTGCTATACAAGACATCAAATTGAACAAAGAATACAAGAGCTAAACTCTTGTATTTTGCTATATTCTATTCTTTCTTTTTTAAGTTGTAGCCCTTAGGAACTAGCCTATTCGGCCCATCTAACTTCTTATTTGCGTCTTAATCATTCTCTTTTTTACATCTACATACATTCTACAGGAGTAGGTAGTACTCCTGGACATCTCAGACACATCTTATAATCTCAAAATCCTTTAAGATCTTCGTACAATTCACAACAATCTTAAACCTTTTAACTTTTAATCGTACAAATGGAGCAGTAAGTTCCTTTTTTTTAAGTAAATTTTCTGCATGTGTGAGACGTGGATGGGATCAAACCCAGATCCATGGATTGCTAGTCCGCGAACCGAGCATCGAGCCACCCAGCGCCTCATACTCCATTCTTTACTATCCCTTTACACTTATGTAAATAAACATTAAGCCTTTCGCAATCTCTATAATAATCATTCTATGTGAATTATGATATATGATTGCGCTATTCACTATATTGACAAATCGATTCAACTGACTTTAATGAAACTTTTAATGAAACTTCATGAAAGGTAAAACTGAATTTCTCTATAATATAAAATATATATCTCCCAAAATTCGTAACAGAGAATTTTTTAACTGATACGGAGTTTCACTCTACATCCGCTTTAAGTTCCTATAATAAAGCGCTAACTTTTCGTGATGGCGACGATTACTTCAAGCTGAGCAAGCTGAAAGTTGTCACATACTGACCTAATAGCCGCAGGACACGAGGTATTCGCCCAGTTTTTCAACGACAGATGCGGCTTGCTGTGGTTGTATGGGGTCCTCGTACAGAGAGACAACTACGGCTTGCGTCGTCTTCATGCAGTGGACGCCGACTTTGCCGAGTTTTGCCCTTATCACACGGTCCGTGCCCGACAAGTAGATGTACCTATTGCCAGCTAAGGTAACCCCGGACGACGTCAGGATGTCTTGCTCTTCGAAACTCTGCACTAATTTCGCCAGTTCTTCTTTACTTACCTAGAAACAAAGAGAAATCTCTTATACACAGTGACAGCGTGATATCATACTTAAACTACGCGAAGATCGTTTCACATATATGTATTCCGGAAGTCGTCTGGAAAAGTTACGGCTTTCCTTATCGTAGAAGAACCATAATTATTCTAACACAAACAAATGAAAAGAGTTTTCGGTCAAAGATAGATCTCCGTGTCTAATAATATTTCTACATGAATTTACATATATTTTCTAGTTCAGCAAAAAAGTTACGCGATGATTACTTGTTGATCTTGAAACGCAATCCTAAAGCTGTAACAGTAATTATTATGGCATTCTGTGTCATATAATCACTCATTATGAATACAGATATATAATTTAGATACAAGAATTTTAATTTATAAATAATATGTACTTTTTACAAATCCATCTTTTTAGAATTAACCGTCAAAATTATACTATTAAAAGACATTACAAATTAGTATAAATCTTATCTAATCATGATATAAATGATTCATGCATGGAAAAAATTTTTCACCGTAAAACTCATTATACAATGATTACCCGTGCTAATACGGAATGCTAGAGATCCGAATTCGACTCCTGGCTGAGGTATTATTTTTCGCAATAAATTTAATTACAGATTTTCAATACATTAAGATCTTTTTAAAATAATGCCACTTAAGCATCAAATTAAATTCCTAAGCAATTTAATTTGTGATATTACTATGGTAGTTCAGTTGCGTTTATAAGTTCGAAAAATTATTTCAGCGCGTAATTCGAAGAGATGTGGTATATAAATTCACATAAAATTATTTAAAGCACTCAAGATCTAGCTTCCGTTATAGTTATTGTTTCTTACTGATTGTTATATTAATATAGACATTAAAAAATTCAATTATTAAAATCCCAGATGTGAACCATCATTTTTATATATTTATATATTGTACTTTTTTATATTATGTTATATTTGTACAATTCTAATAAATTTTTTTAGCCATCTTTAAAATGATAATTTGGATAATATATTGGATAATATAATAAAAGTTTTCGCTAAGGAAATAAAAGAAACTTATATTATATTCCACCTATAAGAAAATACAACTCATGCAAAAGATAATAGATGTAGCGTGGCTAGAGGTAAACTAATACGACAAGTATAAAAATAAAATTATATTTCTGCTGGAATTCTACCACGCTGATGACTTAGAAAAGAATCTTATCTAGAGACACGGTAGTGTCTCGGCGCTAAGATATGACGCGAGACATTGTGCCTCCTTTACGCGAACCGGCAAGTTACGCCCGATCGAGATTATCGGATCTCAATAACGGCTGTCCCGATCAAGTTTTAAGTACACTTAATCGATAGCTTACACTCCGATTGTACCATACATGTTTTTTATTCTTTCCTCTACGTACCCTATAATTAAAACAACGTGGAAATCTCAAGTACATTTTCACATCATGTATCATCGATTGAAATTTCAGAAATGTATTTGAGAAATTTATTACTAATTAGCAAATTCCATTGTCTCAGATCGATTTGTTATTTTTGGAAATCATAAAAGACAAAAAAATATCGAAATGTTAGTAACATTATTTGTATTGTGTCACTAGATAAATTATTTTAATAATTGTAATAATATACTTATTTGCTAACAAGTATTGCGATTTATTAAGCAGTATTTCTTGATTTCTTCAATATTATATGCATTTATATACATTGTGGAAGTCCATAGAAAGTATGAACTTCCAGTGCAATCTTTTGTAATCTTCCAAGGACCGACATAAAGATTTTCGTGAGTTTCGAAGATGTATTATACGAATCAGTCACGTTCTTCAAAACTTTAGGTATTTGTTTTCAATTAACCCACGTATTAAATATTAATTATTCACGAATTACATCACGTCTGGTTATTTATTCAAATAAGTATGTATAATATGAAAACGATATTCTAAATATTATACATTGCATCTAAAGTAAGTGCACAAATTAATTAAAAAGTGCAAATAAGTTGATAATAATTACTATTATAGTAATTACTTATTATTATATCATATTTTTCGACGTGATTTGTAGAGTTCATTAGGATGCTTTATATATATTTTCAACATGATAACAAAGTTATGAAAAAAATACAGATTATTTTAAATCATATTTAAAAATAATACGATAAATTTGATGACCGTTTACTAACTGAATCATAAGTTATTTTAATAAATAATAGTATTTTTTTAATCTATGCTCTCTCTCTCTCTAATAAAAATGCATGGAAATATATTACAAAATAAATGACACAAATCTCAATTTTTTAAATATAAGTTTATAATATATACATAATATATTTAAGATTATTTATGTATAGAGTTACATTGCGATGCATGAACTAGTTGCCTAGTAAATAAACAAAATATTTATTTGTTCTATATCTTTGTAACTAATCAGTAAATCACAATGAAACTTTGCATAAGTTACTTTGAATATTTAAAGAAACTTATCTATAAAAAATTTAGATTTTTGTTATCATTAAAAAAATTTTAATTTTTAACAATAAAAATAATATCAAATAAAACAAATAAACGATAAAAATGTGTTATTAAATAAAAATGTAATCTTATTCACACAACTTTCATATGTTTAGTTTAAAGTATAAGTATTAAACACATTTCCAAATTTAATTATCTTTGCAGGGATTGTACGTGTGATACATCCTTAATTATTATCGATCATTCAATTCAATAAAAACATTAAAACGGTATTTAAATGATTGTTTCATTAAAAATGAAAAAATACAAATATGTTGAAGAAATACAATAAATCAAAACTTGAAACTACTGTTTTCTCTATAAAGATGGAATTACAAATAGGAATGGAATTATACAGATACAGATCTTAAGAATCGGCAGAAATGGTACTATCATATCAGGATGATATATCGTATCAGGATAAAAACGGTATACTTGTTTTAAATTATATTTCAAAATTTCACAATAACAATTCCTCGTTCTGCTATTCAGAATGTTATAGAAATACTTTTGAGCTAGTTACGAAATTCTGAAAAATGTAAATTTCCAGTCAGAACAAAACAATTTAGATGTATCGATATTAAAAAATGATTATACCGAACCATATAAAATTTTGATACCGGATATAAAACAATTTTATAGCCTAGAAAAATTGGAGTTTCTAATAAAACCAATATCGTTTCATATTGGACAAATATTGAACAATGTGAATGGTACAAACGACGTTCAAATAACAATGAAAAATTGCGAAGGCCAAATTATCTTTTTATTATCCAAGGAGGTTAATTATCCAAATTAACATCCTATGGTCCTAGGAGTCTTTTACGAAAAACGGCCACCTTAATGATAGATTTACCGACAGAAATCGCGATAAGCTTCAAAAGTGCAACGCGGAGGGCGCACCAATCATGATATAAGCTTTCACTGTGAGATTCATCGAATCACAAAATTTCTTTTTCAATTTTAAAGAATCAAACGTTGTGTAACATCGAAACAGAATAAATTCTGAGCGAACTTCTAGGAATGCATCTTATCTAAATTACAATAGGCTTGATCGTATTGCTTGCACTTTTTGCATTCAAAATCTTTGCTTTCTCTCTCTCTCTCTCTCTCTCTCTCTCCAACAACATTCGAATATATATATTTATTTCATTTTAAATTTCATTTGGTATTTCAAGCAACACGAACAAATTTTATAAAACCCAAACAACATAATGGCGCAGAAATAGCTTTCATGCGATAATTTTGTTACGTTTAAGCTACACATAAACTGAAAACGACACAATGCATGTTTTTCCAATATAATCCAATATTATTGGTTTCATTGAAGGTACAAAAAAATCTTCATGTAAATCGTCGGAATTTATACGAAGACATAAAAAAAAATCTTGATTTTAATTGATGAAATATATTGGAAAAATTCTCAAATGACTTGCAATGAAATATTATTTAAAAAGACGGAGAATAATAGAACATAAATTCTATAAATATGACTGCACTGTATTAAAAAATATGCATGTTTTATTACGAAGATGAGTTTTCTAAGAGATTTATGTCAAAATTATATGATTTAATTTAAATAATTCACAAACTATATAAAATCTTAAACTATCGGATTAATCGTAAGTCAATCATTAATGAATAACGATTTTGCAATTAATATATATATATGTGTGTGTGTGTATATCAATTTGTACATATATAGGGTGTGTCATTTTAATCGCCCCAGGCGAATAATTCGAGGAGACGAGAAGGAATTAAAAAAAGTTTCAAACAAAAATTATGACTTCGAAAGGGACACAAGATGGTACCATGAGTTTGACTTTGGGTAATGTTGTCAAGGTCAGAGCAAGGTTACTGAATTTTTTAAATGGAATCCCCCATTTTTTATTGCATATTTTCGTAGCTTATTCAAGCCTTATAACTTAAAAAGTACTTAATGAAAAAATATTTTATTATAATGTTTTTGAAACGCTCTCGAGGTATGCTACGAAAATATGCAACGAAAAATGGGCTGTTCCATTTAAAGAATTCAAAGTGACCTTGCTCTGACCTTGACAACGTCACCCAAGGTCAAACCCATGGTAACCATCTTGTGTCTCCTTCGAAGTCACATAACTTTTGTCCAAAACTTTTTTCAATCCCACATCTCTTCCCCGAATTATTCGCCTGGGGTGATTAAGATGAAACACCTTGTATATCAATTTATTAACATTTGTTAAATTGAATTGAAGTACAAAATTAAAATGTTTTCATGACGTTTATTTTTTATCGGTATTTTATAAATTTATTCAAATGTTTAATTAATCTTTATTAAATAAAAATTCGTACTTTGATTGTTCGAAATTAATGAATTAAAGATCTATAAAATCCAATTTTTAAGATTAAAATCTATTCTTAATATATTGCTTAAAAACAATCGCTAAGAGTTTTTGGAGTAATTTATTTCTAAATTGCAACTCCTATCTATCTCCTCTAAGCAAATTCCAATCTATAATAAACACAGAATCGAATATAATTAATGTATATGTATTATGTATATACACGTAATTTTATATATATCCACGCACGCGCACACAACTCCGCTTATTAAAAATAAATTTTTAAGATTGATAATAAATATTCATCAAGTTTCGTTTGTATTATTAAAAAAAACTACGAAAAATACAAATATATGTATGACGCAGGCAAAGCGAGTATTTAACTGGTGACCGTACACGATTATTAATAATGTCACTATTGATAAATACTGACAATATTACTGATCGTGTGTGGTTAAGGGGTTCCTAAAGCCGTCTGTATTACCGACTAAATCGTAATCTTTGTATAACAAATACTTTTTTTCTCTTTCATAGATTCGAAAATTCTTTTCCAAGATTAAAGTATGAGCATTAATACATGTTTGTGAGGTGGAGTTTATGTCGAGAACGATAAAAAAATTTTTCTTGAGATTTCAATTTCGAAATTTTTTGTCGTTTTCGGCATAAATTCCACCTCACAAACATGTATTAATGCTCATACTTTAATCTTGGAAAAGAATTTTCGAATCTATGAAAGAGAAAAAAAGTATTTGTTATACAAAGATTACGATTTAGTCGGTAATACAGACGGCTTTAGGATCACCTTAATATTGATGGATTGACGTAGAATACTGATGGTAATGTGGATTTTGATTCCCGATCATTAGTATTGTTATGTAGTGGGGATATTGACAGTAATATTGAGTGTATGAAGAGGGCGGGTCAGTATTTTCATCACTCTAATCCGTTAATCATGGACAAAATAATCTTGTAAATAAACCATACGTTTCATTCTTTTTTTGTAAATAGTACTAATATTATTACATGCTTTTACTTTATTAAAATTCATGTCACAATATGTCACAGTACACTAGATAATGTACGTAAAACTAAAGTGAAATATTGTCGATAACACTGTTCGTGCAGGATTGTAAAAATATTGATACACTGTCAGTATTATTGATTTAATATTACTGATCATGTGTAGGGTCGCCTTAAGGGGATACTGTTCTGTAATATCGACGAAACACGTATTTCGTATTTTTCTATTTTTTTCGTTTTTCTTGTACAGAATAAAAAAGTCCTTCTCCAGAATAAAAGAAAAAACACAAATAGCTGCAGGAAACTATCATGTGAAAAAATCTACATGAAAAAGTATGTATAAATTACAGATTCCTGCTACCACATAGATCATTTCTTTACATGATATAAATACGTGATTCCAAGTACATATATATAAATATATATATAAACAAAAAGTTTTTCACATTTGAATAATGTATAAAAATATAATGAGAATTATAATTTTGAAGCTTACAAGAGAATTAAATGGTAAAGTACACTCTGAGTGTATACATTTGCATTCATGCAATATGTAGAATGTAACAAAGCATGAAATGTACATAATGTTTTACTTAATGTTTTATTTAATGTAATGTTTTACGTTGGAATTAGTTTTATCGACATTGATCAAGGTCGTCGCTGCAGTATCCCCTTAAGCTCCAATATTCAACTGAAATTGTAACTGAAAGAACAATTAACTTGAGAAGTAAATAAGCAACTTTAATTCGAAGATGAACGATATTGATAATATCAAAATGTCAGAAAATTTTTATTATAATATTTTTTTAGATATATATTCGCATTGAAATATACGCGTATCCTGCAAAATCATGCATCCTCTTTCATGCCTACGTGACTGTCATTAAAATAACCTAAAAATTCTGTTCATTCATCTATTGAGCCATGGAGAGAAAAGTTATCCAAAATCTACATAAAGTCGACGTTCCGAATCAAATCGTGTTCAATTATTAAGAATCCTCGTGATTGCTGATGAAAATAAACTATTATACCATTTCTATATAAATCACGATGCAACAACGCGCTGTGTGGCCCGTGTCCAGCGAGTCGATAGAACGCGGCCATGTTAAGCGTCATCGTTGCCGTCGCCGAAAAACCATTGTAGGTAGGTATGGCTTCTCGAGAAACACAAGCCAGTATTCAGGACGAAAACGCGAGAATTTCGGAACTCCAATTTCGATGCCACGGACACGTGGGCATAAAACTCTGTCTCCAACAACGCGAGGCATGATTCACCGTCGTAGAATTCGTTTCCTTCATGCTCGCATCGAGCGAGGCATCGAGAGAACGAATTCATCGTGAAAACCCTACCAGATTTAAAGATTTTTTTCTCGCTGAAAAACAACGGACTTCTTATGCGAAAACTGGCTGCCGCTACCGCCACTACACGCCACACCCTTTTCGACGCGTTCGGCATAGAATCGATTCTCAAACCAGCGAGCGAACGCAACCAACGTGTCCGACGTGCCAAAGACATTTTCGTCGCTCGGTCATCCAACGACCGAGCGTGACAAAGACATTCGCGTGCATTTCGTACGACTATATTGTCGCGTATTTTCGAGAAACGAAGGCGGTGGAACATGTCCGCCGCCACCAAGCGACTCATCGTCGTTCCATGGAATTTCGTGACGGCGAAGATCTGCCGCCGGAACATGATATTATAAGAATATTCGCTGACGGTGATACAAGGGGTCTCATAGCAACAGAAGCGATCGAGGATTCAAGGAAGCGAGCAACCAACAGAAGCGACCGATTAATCGAGCGATCGTTTGGCCGGCCGGCCGGCCGGGGCCGGCCGGCAATCGTGTGCACGGTGCACATATACGATATACGTGGCATTTACATTTCGGGGTTAGAAGCGATCGTCGACGTGCATGTGCCGCGCGGCGCATTGCGGCGCTGCACAGTTTCGGCTCACTCGTTTGAACCGGTTCGTTTCGTGCTCGAGCCGAATGAGCTCGAACGAAAACCGCGCGGATAATCTCATCGGAGGCATCGGAGCATCTGTCCTCTCTCTTTCTTCCTCGCGCTCTCGCTTCTCGCTCATTTACACTCTTGTCTTTCGCACTTCTCTCCCTCGCGCCGACAAAGCGTGTCTCATGCTTTATCGGAGGGCTCTCTTTATTCCGCGCACTTTCCCTTTTATCGAGGGGGCGTGCTACCAAATCTATTTGTCCTGTCTATCCCTCGTTCTCGCTTCACGACTATCACTCACTCGTTCCCTCTTTTCCTCCCTCCCCCTTTTCCACACCCTCTCACTCACTCTCTCTTTCTCTCACTCATTCACTCTTTCTCTCGTCTTCTCTTTCTCTCTCTCTCTCTCACACACATACGCGCGCTCTCGCTCCCTCTCTCTCTCTCGCTCTCTCTCTACCGTTTCTTGGTACATTCTTTTGGAGCTGCTACTCACTTCGAAGCCTTCAGATTTCGCCCACACATTGCCATCGTGTCCGGCGATCGCCGCTTTGGTAACACACCTAGACGCGAGCAGCTGCTTATCAACGTAATCCTGCCAGCTCATTTTTGAACACAAGGAGGGAAGGAAAAGGCGATGAAAACCGTTCACTACGACACACTGGACGACCGCAACCCGTCACCAACTGCCTCGTCTCGCAACTACCGATACGCGCTCTCCGAACTCCGAAACGCCGGTCGTTCCGCCAATCCCCCCTTTACAACACACTCTACTTCTTTGCCCCTCCCAACGTCTATTGCCGTCATCGCCAAGTCGTCCTTCACAGTTACATTGCTCCCTCTACCTGATATTTCCATAACCAGCGACACAAGTATTCTAGAGACATTTAAATGAATAGGTTTGTTCGTGTTGCTCGAAATTCACCAAAATTTTTCAACTTAAGATAAGAGACCTGTTCTTTTTGGTTGAACTTTTGCACTAGTTCATCTTTCTTCCTCTTCTTTCCTCCTGGAGAGAACAGAACTTATAGATATATTTTTGAGCGTTGAAATGAGAAAAAAGCGAAGATGTTGAATACATAAAGTGTAAGCAGCGCGAACAGACCTAATGTCTAGTTAATAATTTTCCAATTGCAATATCCCTAGACATTTTCGTGCATACGGTGGCTGTGTGTTCCAAATTTACTGCCAGCACTGAAAATGCTACAGTTTACGTTACGTGCACTATAGATTTTCAGTGCTGGCAGTCAATTTTGGAACACAGGAGGTGGCATCGGCGTTACAACGTGCTTAGGTCTGTTCGCGTTACTTGAAATTTCCAAAAATTTTTGCACTTAAAACGAGATAATGCGGGGTCTACAATAGAAGTCGTAACAGTCGTAAGGTCTTACCAATCACAATCGAGTATTCCCCTGTTATAATCGAATGACAGGGGAATGCTCGACTGTGGTTGGTCAGTTCTTGTACTCTGACCCAATTCTAATCTTCGGTGGAAACTTAAGGTTTGTTCCTATCGCATGTTCCAACACGTTCCAATATGCTCCTACCATAGTTCTTACTCACTCCAACGCGCTTGATAGAGTGAGTAGGAGCATGTTGGAGCATGTTGGAGCATGTTGAAACTTGCAACGCGAACAAACCTTTAGTCAATGTCGACATCGTTATGTGTCGTTACGCAGCTTTTTCATCATATAAAATATCGCAAAACTTTTTGCACTCAAATAGATATATATATATATGTATATACATATTTAATCAGGGTTGGAAAAGTTACTAAGTAAGTTATTTATGTATTTGAGTACAAAAAGTTGTACGAAATTGGAGCAAATGGTTAAAGGTAATATAAAAAATAACTCATTATACTCAATTTCTATAATAAATGCATATAAAGTAATCTAAAAGGTAACTTATAAGTAACTTATAAAATGACTTTTAAATGACCTTTAAGGTGCCATTAGGTGTCTACAACATGCGAAATAATGGTTTAAGAAGTAAGAGTAAGAAATTGACCAATCACAGTCGATTATTCTTCTCACATTCGACTGTGACTGTGTTCCAAAATTGACTGCCAATACTGAAAATCTATAGTGCATGTAACATAAACTGTAGCATTTTCAGTGCTGGCAGTAAATTTGGAACACAATCTTTGATTGGTCAATTTCTTACTATATTTCTTAAACCGAGCTTACTACGTGTAAGCTCGGTAATTGTAGACGGGCCTTTACATGGAAACGTCGAGAGTCGAACATCGTGAGCTTACTATTTGCTAAAAACAGGTCACGTGATCGAAATTGACGAATAGCAAGCTCACGATGCTCGATGCTTGACGCTGTCATATAAAAGTACCTTTATATCATGTGCCGATAGTGAAATCTGATAAAATTCTGATTCCATGATGTTCTAGCTGGAGAAACAGATTATGGTGGTTGGACAAAGATTTTTAAAGTATTTTTAAAGTATTTTTTTATGTAGTTACATAAAAGCCAGAATGCAGGTTTCCGCACCAAATAATATAAAAATCTATAATCTTAGCTCTGGAAAATCGCTTCCTGAGGTAAAATTTTATTTATGCTGTGTGCAAGATCGTTTTTAGGTTAAGCATAACATCTCAACGTGTATTTTTATTCTTTATAGTGGTTATCTGAGCGAAAACGAAGAAGTTTATCGAAGAATGTCGGTAAGAATTAGACCAATAAACATGCAAATAAATATAAATATTTCGTTTAAATTTTTTATTTAGATTTTAGCGAATTTGTATGTACTTGTTTCCTTTTTATATCAAAAACAAGATTGGAAAAATAAAAATCATCAATTGGCATTAAAAGAAATATATGAATACTTAAAAAGTATTCGTCTTTGTAATCTTATATGTGCCATCAAAGGATATTGTTGACGTATAAGGAGTAATGAAATATGAATAACAATTTATAAATTTTATTCTATACAACAAATAAAACAAGTAGAGGATTTTATTTAGACAGTTACTTTATCTAAAACTTTGCAATTAATTACTTTTTTAATTTAATCCTACAATTATATTTTAATAATTGCTGTTTTTATATTAATAAGAGATAATTTTTTAAATCTTTGTTTTCTTTGCAAAAAGAAAATAAAGAGAAGTATATTTTTATCAAAGTCTAAATAGAAATTTATAAACGAGATATTTCTGATTCTTACTATTTCCAAATATATCTAATGTTTTATTTATCATCAGACATACGACGACGTATTGAACTTATACAAGACTTTGACATGCCTGGCATAAGCACATCTATTAGAGTTTCTAAAGATGAGCAGTACATTCTTGCAACAGGGATTTATAAACCACGTATAAAATGTTTTGATGTACATAATTTGGCATTGAAATTTGAGAGATGTTTTGATTCTGAAATAATTACTTTTGAAACAATATCGGATGACTACAGCAAAGTAAGTATAATTGTTGAAAATCTGCAAAATAATTTATACAAAGTATGTAGACTCACATGCATGTTCTATTATTTTAAATTTTTAGTTATTAAGTTAATTTAATTAAAATAATGAATATATGATAGTAAAAATTATGACTTTATTTATATTGTTGGCCATATTATTTAATAGTTTCTTATGATATTTAATAAATTTTTATGATATAAAGTTGTAATATTAAATTGGAAATATTTTAAAGCAATTTTTATGATATAAAGTTGGACATATGTAATATAATTTTCGAAGTTAATACATTTTCACTGATAAGGACAAAACAATTGATGGTATTCAAAATAGATATTGAGCATTAATCAAAATGTATGACTAAATATGTATAATATATTTTTGTAACTGCTTTTTTATTAATTAAAGTTTCTGTATAGACATAAACAAAAAAAAAGAAAATTAATAAAATATGATTTTTGTGAAAATTAGTTTTTTTATAACTTGTTTTATTTTATGCCTGACAATTAAATCTTCTAGTATGTGTTCTGATTGTGTGTTTTTGAATAACGATATATATAATATTAAAAAACGACATCCATAACTACTAGAAAATAAAGTATAATATGAAAAATTTAAGTCACTCATTTTTTTTGCTTGCTACTATATAAGGATTGATTAGAATCAAAATAATTTTATTGAATTTATCACGGTCTTTTTTAGATAATATTTCTGCAATGCGATCGTAGTGTTGAGTTTCATGCTGCTCATGGAAGATATTATAAGCTCAGAGTACCAAACTTTGGAAGAGATCTGAAATATCATTATCCATCATGTGATGTTTTCATTGTAGGCGATAGGTCAGTTTTTAGAAATTTTAAGCAATTAGTATTATGATCATATTGAATTAAATTTACAGTATAAAGGTACACACACATACACACACACAAAAACGTGAAACGTCTCTTATAAAATGAAAAAGAATTATTACGGAACATATTTTTGCAGTAATAAGATATATAGGATAAATCTCGAACGTGGTCAATTTTTGCAATCGTTTGAAACGGAAGCAACATCGATAAATAAGTGCGAGATAAATCCGTTGCATCATTTACTCACAGTTGGCACTCAGGAAGGAAAAATAGAAGCTTGGGATCCAAGAGTGAGGAATAAAGTGGGCGTACTTGATTGTGTTCTGCATTGCATTACTCAAGATAAGTAAGATATAACAATAGAATTTACTCTTTATTGGAATCTAATTTCTAGATTGATACAATTAACCTTTTTTAAATCAGTTTGCAAACAGTTCCCGCAATTACCGCTTTGAAATTTCAAGGAGGATTGAATTTAGGAGTTGGTACATCAACAGGACATGTATTGATATATGATATAAGATCTAATAAACCACTTTTAGTTAAAGATCATATGTACGGATTACCGATCAAATGTATAGATTTCCACCAAAAGATGGATCTTGTTTATTCCATGGACAGTTCCATTATAAAAATATGGAAGAAGGATAGTGTGAGTAAAATTTACTTTATTTAAAGTTAAGCTTTACAGGGCCAAAATATACGATATAATCACGAAATCGTGATTCTACAGTTTAAAATAAATTAAAATGATAAGCTTTTTGAAGCTTCGTTTTCGAGAAAAAGAATTTTGAAGGAATTTTGAAATTATTCTTAAATTAAAAAGACAATTGGAAATATTTTGTCCCTGTAAATCAAAATGTAAGCTGTAAAATATTTTTTTATCGTACAATAGGAATCTCAAAATTATTTTTCTTTATTTAGGGTAAACTTTATACTTCTATAGAAGCTCAGCATAATTTCAATGATTTATCTGTCATGCCGGACAGTGGTATGTTGCTGACAGCTAATGAAAGTGCGAAAATGCAAGTATATTACATTCCCAGTCTTGGTCCTGCCCCATACTGGTGCAGTTTCCTTGACAATCTTACGGAGGAATTGGAGGAACTGAATTATGATATCATCTATGATGATTACAAATTTGTAACCGATAAGGAATTGGACGAATTAAGTCTTTCACATTTAAAGGGCACTAATTTACTCAGAGCTTATATGCACGGTTACTTTATGGATATCCGATTATATAGGAAAGCAAGGGATGTAATGAAACCATTTGAATTCGAAGAATACAAAAAAAAGAGAATTCGTGACAGGATTAAAGAGGAGGCCGTCAGCAGAGTACAAGTATGTTTTAATTTGATTTTATTTTTGTATAGCTACTTAATCTATCAAGTTCTATTTTCAATTCATGTATTTCAAAAATCAATATTAATTTTATTAATTTACATAATCTCTTTTTTGAAATA